AGGACGCAATCGGTGGCTTCACTAAGTTCTTGACCACATCTCAAATGACAAACGGAGTCGTTGGTTAACATGATCCAATTGAGAGCCGTGCCCGCGTGCAAATAAGCCAACTACTTATTCTTACAGCTTTACAGGATGTCCCATTTTAATCTCTTCACAAATATTTCCAAAACTGCCTCGTAATGAAAGTTTTCAACTTAAGATGTAGAGTTTTGGTCATCTGAAGGCCTAGCGAATATTTTCAAATAGATAGATCTTTTCTCTCACCGGAGCTGGACAGAGAAGGAAATTCTACATCCGAAAATGACCTTGACCTTCAAAGCCATTTCAAGCTCAAGTAGAGACAGTGAAAATAATTTGCGCTGGCAAGAACGTTCGACACCAAGCAGGAAATGTCCGAATGTGATCTTGACCTCAAAATCAAGGTCATGTCAATATTTTCAAGGCCAAATTTGCAGAGTACAGGAAATTATATATTTGAACGTGTAAAATATTGACACCAACTTAAAGTTGATGGTCAAGGTCAAATTTGAGTGATCCCCATAAAGCTTTGAACTATGCTGTCGAACATTTTTGCAGATTGTTTTCAATGTCTTGATTGGATCTTGAAATGACCTTGAACGTCAGAGAGATGGTCATGGTCGAGGTGATATTCGGACGTGAAATTCCCTCTTCTTTCCAATTCCGTTGGAAAAAAGGGGAATTCTTTTTGAGAATACTCATTTGACATTGAAATAACCTTGAAGTCAGCGGTTAAGGTCATAGTCAAGGTCATCATCATTTCGCTCTCTCCACTGTGTTAACGAACATTTTTTCTACAGCAAATTGTTTTTAATGCCTTAATTTGACCTTCAAATGGCCTTCAATGTCATAGTGATGGCCACAGTTAAGGCTACTTACGGACATAAGACGTCACCCTCGAAATCCTCCAGCTCTCTTTCAACCTTTTTTTTAGGACACGTAGTCTTCGAAACATTTAGGTGGGAAGATTAAAATGGGACACCCTGTATACTGTAGTCCACTTTCTGTAGGTCCCAGCGTTTTTACCTCTTGAACTGTTGCCGCATGTTATGGGATTTCCTTTTCCGTCGTTGCGAAATTCCGAGGATACAAAAATATTTGGAATAATTACAAGGGGTGCTATAATCTTTCCTCGGGATGGTGATGATATTGTTAAGAATAAATAACCCCCTTTATAAGGATTATTGGGTCTGTTTTTATTACTTCGAAAGGAATTACTGCGACCCTGCTGACAACATGGCTGTGATAATGGCAACTGTATGTGAACATCTGAATACAGCATCTTCTTGGAGATATTTCAATCAATGACGTGTTCTAATTTACATGATCACCAAAATTTTCTTCTACTTGCGCAAAGAATGCTTTGACTTGGTTCACTAAAAACCTAACCACATCATCCCAAAGGGTTAACGCTGTCTAATCTATATGATTACTTAAAATTTCTCTGATCGTTTCCGTCGGCTCTTTCAATTCCACTAATTCGGGGGGGCACGGCACGGTCGACTTCCAAGGGAACTTTTCAGCCATCCGGCTAATGCCAGTTTCCGGAAAGACGCCACGCTTCGTTCTGTCGACGTCCCGTCTGTCCTACGGGACGCGTTTCTGGATGCACTCGACCGAACTGCTCGCTCTAGGCTCCTGCTTTTCAACAGAAAATGGGATAATTAGCTGGCACAAATTGTTTTATTGCAGGGCATCGTGATCATTAGCATACTTTTTTCTTTGACTTAACCATAGTTCTGCTTGAGAAAGTACTGGAATGTATGAGGACGGCGAAGGTATAAATTTGAGAGGGGAATGTCAAACGATCAGTATTTACTGTGACCCTAAAGCACTGTGTCCAACCTTGATCCGTTGATCAGATTCCTGCTGTCTGAAACCGTAACCTTGCCAGGCCTTCACAGTGGCACAGGGGTTTCGTCATGCTCTCTGTAGAAACGAATGTGGCCTCTCCTGCGAGACCCAAGAGCCTCATGTGTCGATGTAGACGACACCCAACTAGCAAAGTAGTGCTATAAGCTTTTGGTAAAAGAACCGTTCAGCCATAAAAGCTCTCTATTGTTATTGCCTGAACACCAAAATGCTGGCTTAATGTTGTGTGGCATGCAAATTTGCTTTCTGCAACATATTTGCTCTAAAATGAGGTGTTTAAAATAATCTTATAGCATAGTTACACAACACCTTATAGGACAAATTTTTAACTGTTGCATAAACGTTTATACAACTATTTTATACGGTATATTTGCAGATTAGTCAAAATGGTTGTGTAGTGGCATCCATGGTAACGTTTATAAAACAAACCCGAGCCTTGTTGTTTTGCTGTGCAAATTTACTACTTTAGCCAACAAATTGCTCCCAACGGCAGCACTTATACAACTGTTGTTTAGTAACTGTTAAAGGCTGTACATCTGCAACAATATTACAACTTTTGTAGTACAAAATTTCTGTGCTCGGCATACATTTGTTGCTAGATATTTTGGTATACAACTTCGCCATAACCTAACTTTCTGCTGTCATATTTTTGTTAAAATGCCATAACCAATATTTTACGACAAACAACGCATGCATATTTGTTAAAAAGGTTTTATCAACTGTTCAAACAGAAGATATAGATCTGGTACAAATTCTAGGTAAATCATTCGACTCTGTCGGTATTTCGTTTCTGACATTTGTCAAATTGTTGTATAACATCTGCAGGCAACAACAAAATATTCTAATAATCTAAAGACAACATGGACGATGCCATGATTATACACAACCACCCGCCATATTGGGCAAACATTTATTCCTCTATTTGATATTAAATAATTATGTTTCAGTTCGCAATTACAGATATAAAGTGATAAACATTAGTGTAATTGTGTCTAAATATAGGATTTGTGGAAGATTTAACGCAGATAAGTTCGGTTTTCCTTCATAAAAATCTAGACATACTTTTGATCATTATCAAAATATGAATCAAATACGAAGCCCGTAGAAATTGCGTAACTACTTTGCACGATAATCACAATAAAATTTGCTGCGCAGGTAATTCAATAGCCCTACATCACACTGTAGAAGTTTATCATATACATATGTATGAAATTCACAATGGCCGATATGTAAGTAAACAAGATGACTGTATTGTGTTAGTTATATATTCTTCACTTCGTCTATTCTATACAATACATAAGAAATAGTTTGGTTGCAATAAAGTAGAATCACGTAACAGAATAGTTGTATAGTTGACAAAAACTGAATCTTGCACTGACGCAAATGTCCTATATCGGCTGCAAGAGGCTTACACTTTTGTTGTATAACTGTTACATGCAGCCCTTATGCAACCTCTTAAATGCCTGAAGTGTCCTATTATGTGTGCCCATTCCGCTTGTATAGCTGTTCTAAGAGGGTTTTGCCAATGTTCTTACAGTATACAATGCTGTGTAAGGAATACTGTATAATCATTCTTGCAACTCTAATAGGAGTGATAATTGTTAGTTGGGCAGTGACATGTTAGGAGACTCACTATGGCCCTTTATGGCCTTCCATTCAGTCCGATTAAAAGCGGGCCTTCGTTCTTTGATGAACTCTTTTGTCTGCCTTCGGCCCAACTGGCTGTTCCACCATCCTAGGGACTTTTTCTTGGTCCAATTTCCTATGGACGGTTTGGTGCGTGTTCTGGTCACGCCACGGAAAGCCTGTGGTCATGTGAGGCGATTAGCCACACCATATCGGGCTAGCTCATCCGCCTTTTCATTTCCTTTGTGCCCTTCATGTCCTGGTACCCGGAGCAAAGTTACCTTGTTTCTGTTTCCCAGCTCTTTGAGAGCAATCCCATACTAGTTTAGACGATATTTGCGATGAACTTATCTGGCGATCGACTGATTTGCAGTATCATTACTTATTAGCTCTTTTGGATTTTGGATTTGTATGGTAGTTACCTCAGCCAGAAATATTTTTGCAATATTGCCTAGACTTGAGATCTCAGTTTTTGGCCTTGCCCCATAAATCTCGGCTCCAGCTCCAGTTTTCGACCCGTCCGTATACCATTAGCTTTTGGCATGTGTAGGAGGTCCCTTCTTACATGCCTTCCTTTCTGGTACTATTGTTTGATAGTTTTTATCGAAATTGCACGCTAGAACAGTTGTGTCCGCGGGCATTACCAATGTAGGATCTATCTTCAACTCCGTGCTGCAGACTGATCGGTGATTGGCCTTAAGTTAGTCTGTGAGCCACGGAAAAGGCATTACCCTGAATAAATATATGTAACGGTGGTACGCCGAGAAGAACCTCCAACGCTGCAGTGGGAGCGGTATGGATGGCCCCCGTGGCACCCAAGCAAGCTAGCCTTGTACGCCACTTAATAGCCTCATCGCTCCCGGCTGTGTAGTCTTTTTCCACAACTTCTCCCGCACATCTGTCTACACCTTCCTAGGGCTATTGTAGCTTTCTGTGCTGTTCTGTTTATTTGAGAATTCCACGTTAATCTTCGGTCAAAGATGACTCCAAGATATTTTTCCTCGCTGGCATAAGGGATCTCTACACCATGCAGGGTTAGTGGCTGTCTATTTGCTGTGCTCTGTCAGTATTTATTATGGACTGTGATATTTCTTGAAAGCTGACATCAGTAACTATTAATGTATAGAGTATGGGGTATGGGCTGCGTGCATAAATTACAGTCTACTCGTAATTTGTACTATGGTACTATAACAATTTCAGTGCTTGTGATTGTTTTATGCGTTCGGAAGTAGAAAAAAGTAATCGTTCCGCAAAAGAGTACTTTTCTTCACGTGCTCAGAACCTTGGGAATAAGATGATCGTCAATTGTCAATTTAGTGGTCCCCTGTTTGTTTACTATATTTTTGCGCTAAATACCACCTAGTCAGCAAGATGACATTTTATTGTTTTATGGGTTTCTTACATAATAGCCGTGCCGTACCAAGCATATACCCCTGAGTTGCCATTCTATTCAGTTGTACTGTGTAAACAGTGGCCTTGACGTTGAACGTCAATTTATATCAGTCACGTCAATATGCGACCTTTCAAAATAAATTTACTGTAAGGCACATACCGTAGATATAGAACCATGTAACGCTTTCACATTAACATTGGTCTGACAAAATGAAAATACAACCGTTAAAAATTAATCGATTCAGAAAAACCCTGCTGTTTAGACAGGCACTGGAAACTGGTGCTCTGATGGGAACTGGAGATATGGTAGCCCAGACCTTGATAGAGAGAAAAAAGCTAGAAAGGAACTACGATCCTTCAAGAACGCTAATGTTCCTTTTATTGGGGTCTTTCTTTGTCGTAAGTTTGTCTTCAGGTTTACTTATATGTAGATATGCTTCTTTAGTAGTCTGTGGTTATACCCCTTTCCACAAATGGTAATAGCCATGGAAATGTTCCGAGAAAAATGTTATCAAGAACGTGATCTTGACACGTTTTTCAGTTTTCATGAGGGTTGCTTATACCACTACTTTTTAAATTTGAATTTTCCCAAGAAGGATGAGCTACTATTGCAACTATTTTTGAATCAACGAATATTGGATGTTCTGAAACTTCGGGTACAACAGCAGCTGAGTTAAAGAAGAGATGAAGTGTCATACGTTGCGTATAAATACCACAGTATAGAGCCGGCATCCACGGCAGTACATGTTCTCAGTACAAAGAGCACCAGCATAATCCCAACTGTTGACATGCTCACTCTAGCGAGAAGCAGCGAGAGACAGCGGACCTGGGTCGGATTGTGTATTCGACGCTGTTAAATCCTTTATTCAACATTGAACAGCTCAACCATATTGTGAATCAAACAGGTTCTGTATGTGGATGACTGTTTTGAGTCTAGTCTAGCTAAAAGCTACTAGGTCCTCCATTCCTATATTTCGGAAGTCACTGCTCGGATTATATTACAACACAAGCTACTGCTATACCAATAATAGAACACCTTAAATTATTTTACCAATAAATGCGAACATTTTTAAAGGTAATACAAAAGCTCATAGGGGTCAACACCTAACCTAAAGAATGCGAAAATTTGTTATTTGTCGTTTTTCTACTTTCTGGTTATTCCGTGCCATAGTAAAGATATAGGTTGTTCGAAAACTCTAAAACCAGGCATGTCTATGCGTTGCAGTTGATAAATTTTAGTGTGAACAAATTTGCAGAAATCGATTCCCTTAACAATTGTTTATGGCAAAAATGTACTTCGATGTTGGGTCATATATTTTAACAGTGAGTAGATCTGATCAAAAGATATGTTTTTCTCCTTTAACATTTTTTTGGTAAAATTACAGTAACAAAGTTATAGCACTTAAGAAGTTTGAGTACCGCCCTGTCTCAGTAATAATATTATGTGCTCGTGTTTGGCAACAACGGATATAATCCGCCTTATCGGTTCATCGCATCGGAAACAAAAAAGCGAAAGAATTTGTAACGCTTATCACGATGTTTTTACTACAGTTTTATTCAATTGCATTCAGTCAATGTGTCAGTCGGTAACGCGTGAGTGAATATTGGTGTTTGTTGCGTTGCTCAAACGAAATAAAAAATGGCACATGTTTACGAAAATGCTGAACTTGTGGACATGATTCTTATTTACGGGGGGGGGTCTTTACAAAATGCTGCCGCGGCATCACGGATTTATGCGGATCGGTTTCCCAATCGAGTGCAACCAACCCCTCGTGCCTTTGTTAATGTAGTACAAAGGGCTCGTGAATCAGGTGACTTAAGACATCATAGGGGAGGGCATGCCGGTGCTCCAAGACCGCACGATCAAATACAGGTCCGCACTGAAATACTTGTCGGGAGGATACTTTATAAAAGAAGGTAACATTTTTTTTAATTATTTTTATTTTTACACACATATTTTGGTTTATCTTCCTTCTACAATCATTATCTGAAATTTAATGACTCAACTTCAAAGTCACTCTGTATAAAATCTGAATTTCAAGAATACCTTTATCCATTGTTGCTTAACTGAATCGTGTAATATGATATCTCGCGTTGGGCCCTAATAGATAAAGCTGTGTAAGGATTTGGGAACAACTTCTGTTTTCATAAAGTTATATATACGACGGGTGTAAATTAAGTGATGAGACTGCCAACGTAGAATTCGATCTGGCAACGCTGGAGACAGGGGAACATGTGATCCGCCTTCAGGACAAGTTCGAAGTAGTGACTTTGCCTGTCAAACAGTTTTTTCTATTGTGCCCTAAAGATGAGTGAAATCAATTTTGAGCAACGATGTTCTATCAGGTTCAGCTTCAGACAGGCACAGTGCAGCGAAAACCCTTGCTAAACATCAGCAGGCATATAGAGATAGAGTTCTGTCAAGAACCCAGGATTTTCGGTGGTTAAAGGTATTTTCACAAGGGAGAGAGTCGATTGAACATGAACAATGAGGCGGAAGGCCTTTATCTTCAGGAACCGATGAAATATGTCGACAGAAGCCGAAGAAATGACTGTAACCGCCCAGCGAATTACTATTAGAGTATCGAAGTTTCAGACCTCGTACGATGGTTGTTCCCGAAATAGGGATCCCAAACAGCTTCAGCCACACTAGAAGGTACGACGCAAAATTCATCGCGTAGCTGCGCCCCCACTCCAGATTCCCTCCGGCCAGAAACAGAAGTTATTCCCAGATCCTGTATGCAATCTCATAGTTTTTTAACTCTTAGAACGCTACGCGAAATAATACACGATTTACTTCGATAGCAAAAGAGCTTAATGAAATTCAATACAGTGGACCTCCGGTAATCCGACAAACATTATGCAGGGCAGTGTCGAACTATCGAATTTGTCGGATTATAGAGCACTGCCTAAGACCCCCTATAGTCCATAATTTTTTACAAAAGAGTACCTTGTAATCCGACAAATTACATATCCAATGGTAAGATTATGTATGTTATGTATATGTATGTACTTTGAAGTACAAATCATACATAGTTGATGTATGTCGAATTTAGCAAATTAAATAACAATAGAGAGCTTACGTTTTATTATAAAATTAAGCATAAATGCACATACTTACGTACCAAAATAGTCAAGAATTATTAATCAAAATCATTAATGAATTTATCAAACTATGAAGCTTGGAAATATTCATCAATTTTTGTTTGTTTAAGGTTGTTATAACGCGAGATCAGAGCTTGGTCCCTCAGTCTTCTCAAAAGTAAAAGTTCGTTGTAGGATGTACCATTCTCTTCAGCCCATGGTAAACCTAGCTCAAAGGCGTTAATTGCGTCTTGTGCTGTGACTTGTGGAGCAGTTGCAATCACGTCGTCGTTATTTTCCTGATTGTTTGTTGTATAATAAGAACACTCTTTTATAATCTCTTCGTCAGGCATTTCATAAAAAACATTTTCCTCTTTATCCATTCCACGGCACCAGATTTCCAAATCTTCCGGACTTATCTGTGTTTCAGTAGCGACTTGTTCTATAACTTCCGAAGTAACACTGATTTGTGGAACATTGCTAGGAGTGGTGACTATATCTGGCCATAACTTTTTCCAAGACGATTTAATAGTTGATGGACTGACAAAGAGCAAAAACCAAGTCTTTCATATTAAATTCTTTTAAAGTTTTTTCTATTGGTTGGTCTTTTGATACGGCTCTCAGAAGTAGGTTTTTCTTATAGTCTTGCTCGACAATTTGAATGATATTCTGGTCCATTGGTTGAATCAGTGCAGTGCAATTTGGCGGAAGAAACATCGCAGTGATGCATTTATCCTCAGTTGTTAGTTATTCTTCAGACGGATGACCGGGAGCGTTATCAAGAAGCAGCAACGCTTTTTGAGGAAAATTATGATCTTTTGACCATTTTCTAACTTCAGGTACGAAGTATTCATCAAACCACTTTTTAAAAAGGTCTTTTTTCATCTATGCGCTTTTTTGTCCAGGTGAATCAATGTTTTTGAATGCCCATGGTTTATTAGATTTCCCAATGACCATCATCTTAAGCGCGTGTGTGCCCGCAGCGTTAGCACATGGTAGTATGGTTACACGCTCTTTACTTACTTTTCGTCCAGGTACGGATTTTTCGTTACAAGGAACGAAAGTTTTGTTAGGCATCACACGCCAAAAAAGCCCTGATTCGTCTGCATTGTACACCTGTGACGGGTCAAGATTTGAATCGTTCACCTTTTGCAAAAATCTTAATTTAAAGTGCTCTGTGCAGGTGGCATCGTTAGAAAGTTTCTCTCATGTAATAGTCATTAAACGTATGCCATGACGACTTTTAAAACGTTCTAGTCATCCTTTGCTGTCCTCAAAATCATCTTTTTTTGTTATTTCCTTATAAAAAAAACTTAGCTTTCATGGTCAACATGGGTCCAGAACTTGGTGCATGCCTATTTCTTTCCTGAAGAAACCACATGTACAAAGCTTCTTCCACTTCTGGATGTTCAGCTTTCTTGAGTGTCTGTCTCTTGCCTGGCCCGCAGTCAGTAGTTGACACGAACTTCTTGATCTTCTCGTGGTTTCTTTTAATGACATAAATTGTAGATCGGCCTACGCCGTATTCACTTGCTAAATTACTGAAAGTTACATTGCGATTTAAGCGGTCTAACATATCACATTTTTCTTTAATTGTCAATGTTTTGTGCTTTCGCTTCTGAGCTTTTGATGACATTACTAGGTACTATACTTAATACACAATGAATAAATAGTAAACAATGAACGCACGCTAGGCCGTACCGCTATCACAAGTAGTCAGTTTCAAACTAAGTAAAACAATGCTTACACGTCGAGCACGATAGCGGTGGCGCTTACAAGTTGTACCCTGTTCAAACCTGCGTGATCCACATTAGTGAAGATTGTCAAATACGTATGTATGTAATATTGAAAAACAAGTGGGATTACAGGGGGCCCCGGATTAGACAGGGGCCGGATTATCGGGGGTCCACTGTATATTCTAACCTCGAATTGCTTTTATTATATTTACAATCCTCTCTTAAGAGCATCCTGTATAATATTCCAGCGTGATTCGACAATTTGTATTGTAGGGTCCTATGTTAAGTGCTTGGTACAAGTGCCTATACAAACTTGGTCATCGTGATAAAGACAAGTCGCAAACCGTAATATTACTGCAAAAAGTACTGCTGGACCAACTTGTCTTCGCTCCTAGCTCGCTGGTCGTCGTGTTGTCCATATTGAGCCTCATGCAAGGAGGTAATCTCAAATCGGCAAAAGAAGAAATCAAAGAAAAATATGTGGATATTCTGGTGAAAAATTGGCAGGTATGGCCTGCGATACAGATGTTCAACTTCTATCTTGTACCATTGAAGTACCAAGTACTGCTAGTGCAATCTTTAGGTTTACTGTGGAACACTTACTTGTCGTGGAAGATTCATAACTAATATATGCTATTTTTTAAAGCTCAATTCGGTTTTCCTTCATTTCCATAGCTTAAGGTGTTTCTCAGTTTCCAGCCGCCACAAGGTACATAACTATAGACTGGTATCGAAACACAATATGCGCCACTATTAACGTGGAGTGGTGTTTGAAAACGGCAGAATCCGCGCACATCGACTTTGTCTATTCAAAGGTACGCCGCTCTAGGAGCAGCGTACGATATCCTACTTTCTTCCGTTTTGGTACCCGTGCATGGTAGCAATGGAATCACGCAGTTTTGGATCGCGCGGCATTTCCATGCCAACGACTTTGATCAGATTAGGAGATATTTGCATTGCATTGCTTGTCGCTAAAATTGCGTAGTTATTGCATACTGTTGACGCTATAATCTACCAATGCCTATCAAAGTGACAGTGACATTAGGCTTGTGACGCTTTTTGCAATTTATATAAGAAATTCCATGTCTTGATATCATCAAACACCACAATTATCTGCAAACGCTCGCAGTTTTTAAAAATAACTGAAATTGGAATTTAATCACAGAACTGTTAATTGCACTTTGATCCTCACTACAATGGCAATTTGGAGACAAACAAATTCTTGACTGACTCCTTCTACGTAGTCTGAATTTGTTGTTGCATTCTGAAAGCCCAAATATAACAATTAATATTTCGAAAACTCATTAGGGGAGGCTTTACAACCCTGTAGTAATGTTTTAGTTCTGTTAAAAATGCATACGAGGAAATATTGTATTCGCAAAAATTTTTGAAAATCACAGCTTTGTTCCGACACAGGTATGGGACACGTTCAAAAGTAATTTACATACCAATTTTAAAATATTAGCCCCAGCAGTCCATTTTCTGGTTTATTTTAATGATGTTCGTTGTTCCAGCGGCTTTGGTAGTTGTACGAAACTAATCATAGTATCTAATCATAAAGTGGAGATAATTTCATTTTTTGTGTATTTGTGTTGTATGCTGTGTTTTGCCATTTTAATATAACGTACCATCAAGTAACTCGTAATTTTCCATGATTGGTAAGATACAAATGAAATTTGCAATACAAAAGCGTGGGGTAAAATTATTGTTTTCGATACACATAACTAGAAAGGTCGTTCCAGTACATGTCACTGGATGTTCCCAGACAGTAATATGTGTTCTAAGCATAAACTGTACATTTTGCTACTATGTTTTTCGATAAATATAAATAGTTATTGACCTGTTTACAAATATGGTGTAGATGTAACCAAAACGTACCCAATTAAGTCTTGATTTGATTTGAGTCTTTTGAATGGACTTACGCATGTACATAGTTGACTCTTTTGGCAGAACTTCCCACTTCCGTCTTAGTAGTTACTAATACAACGTTAACTTCAACTTATGTAAACAAAAACAAAAAGTCGTGGAAATGACGGTTGTACAGATAGATTGGCTCTGTATCTCTCATACAATTGTTTTAGTTTCGTTGATCATAGTAAGCTTGGAAATGAACTGAACATAGTCTAATTGATGACAGAATCACGTGGAAAGTACGGTCATTCTACTCGACTCCATTTTTTAAACATATCTGTAGTTGTGTTCCTTTAGGGAATAAATTAATATCGGAAAGCTTCAGTACATCGGAAAGAATCAACTACAATCATTAATTTCGTAGTGAAATATTTCAAAAACGAGTTTGTAGGCCTTCTTCCGGTTTTGAAAGAGTGTAATGCTTCATATCATTGCTTTCAACACACTCCTATATTTTTTCCTCATTAGAGCTTGAAGTAATACGAGAAACTGTTATCATTTTTTGAAGAGTTCACTCAATCTTGTCTGAACTATCCCAGAAAATTAACAGTAGATTTTTCAAACTTCACAGAAACGTGTTAATGTGGAATCTTGAACATATAAAAATATAGAATTGGGAATATGCATGTGATCGGTTATTTATATTTATCTACAGTCTATATTGCTACAGAAAGCTTTCTTCAATCTTATTTTATATGGGGTTGTCCAAAACGGAAGCAGGAAAGTAAACGCATATTATAACAAGAAAGATTCATATTCAAATCAAGTTGGGTACTTTATTTTGAAGGTTCATTTATACCATTTATGTATGAAAAATAATATCGCTTAAATGTTCACCACGACTGGATTTGCAGACGTCCACGCGATGGTCGAAATTTTCAATGACATTTTGCAACATGGTCGGTTCTATGGCATTTATCTCGGCAATGATGTTGTTTTTGAGTTCTTGGAGGGTGGCTGGTTTGTTGACGTAGACTTTGCTTTTCAAATATCCCCATAAAAAGAAGTCCAAGGGAGTCAAATCGCACGATCTTGGTGGCCATGGCACACTTCCTCTGCGCGAAATCACGCGATCACCGAAGAAGGACTGCAATCGATGGATATTGACGTTGGTTGTGTGGCATGTTGCACCGTCTTGTTGGAAATAAACATCGTCCATATCCATTCCTTCAAGTTGCGGCAAAAAATAGTCCTCTATCATCACGTGATATCGCTCAGAATTGACGGTAACGGCGTCCCCGGCCGCATTTTAGAAAAAGTAAGGTCCGATGATGCCCTTTGACCAAAATGCACACCAAACAGTCACTTTTTGAGGATGCATCGGCTGCTCTTGATACTCACGGGGATTTTCGTTCGCCCAGATGCGGCAGTTTTGCTTGTTTACCGTCCCATTCAAAGTGAAATGCGCTTCATCGCTGAACATGATTTTTGATGAAAAATTGGCATCAATTTGGCGGTGTTCAAGGAGCCAATCTGAGAACCTTCGACGCGAAAAATGGTCGGCCCGACGCAGCTCTTGCGTCAATTGGATCTTGTAGGCGTGTACATTCAAATCCTTGTGGAAAATGCGGAGCAAACTGGTTCTCGAAATGCCCAATTCTTGGGATCGACGCGTTGTTGATTGTTTCGGATCGTCTCTCACACTCTCCTTCACAACAGCAATATTTTCCGGTGTGCGAACGCTCCTTGGCCGGCCAGAGCCTGGCAGATTTGCCACAGAACCTGTTGCCTCGAATTTACGCACCAGACGACCGATGGTTGTTTCGTTTGGGCGGTTGTTGAGACCGAAATGTTCACGAAGCGCGCGAAACGTGTTTTTTATTTTTGCACCATTTTTGTAGTGCTCTTGAATAACTTTAATGCGGTCTTCAATCGAATACGAATCCATAGCGATCAATGGTAAACGTTCAACTAACAAAATGACATGTCGGTGACAGAAAACAAAGATGACGTCTATATCAAATTGACGTTTACTTTCCTGCGTCCCTATTGGACAACCCTTTACTTATGCGAGTATTAATTATTACAAACTGGGAAAAACGCGCAACAAATGTAAGATATCGAAACAAAACGCTATTTGCGTGACGGTACGATATCGCCAAGTGAGCAGCCAATCCTTTATCGCTGATATTGATTGTCAACCTATCAGTTTGATCAGTGCCAAAGAGCTGACTCGAAATTTGCCACTGAGATATCCAACTACAATGGGTTACGCACCTTTTTCAACACAGACATCAACTCCATTTTACAGCGGATGTGCTGTTACCATAAAAATTAACAAAAGACTTTGAAAACTTGACAGCAGATCATGGTAGGAAATTGACGAAATACCGGCTAAGATGCAAACTATGAGTCGTAACGTCACTGCAAAGCGCGTGAAAATAGAACCTATCAAATCTTAACAGCAAACCATGACAGAAAATTACTCAAACATACAATAAAATGGCAAAATGACTTGTGGAGTCTCTGCAACGCACGCAAAAGATGCAGCGTTTAAATCAACGCTATTGGCATTGTACCTTTAAATATTTAATTATAAAAAATACACGCATTTTATATACTGGCGTAAATAATCAACAGAAAATCCTTAAGCTTATCGTTATCTAGAATGATCTGGTAACGTCTGTGGTTCCTGAGACAAAAGCCTTCACCGAGGGGAGACATTCTTCCTGTACACGCCGGGGTGAGCTCCTTGGCTGCTCGGTGAAGGGATAAGCTGACAGCTAATATCGCAAGTGGTCTTCTCTTCTGTCGTAAAATTGTCCGGTTGCTCCATCCCCGGAAAGATGCTGAATGCGATATACGCCGAGACAGTCTCGTTCTCGTACGTCAACGATATTATGTCTTTCTTCTTACTATATGAACTGAGATGGTATGGAACAATCTTTGGAATGCAGGTAGTTTGACTATGGACTGAAGCTGAATCTGTAGTGGCAGTGTGTAACGGCTGTTTGAAAAGCAAATATTGCATTTGCGTATGGAATATACGACAGCCTAACCCTTTTAGCACGAATCTGGCTTAGTGATAAGTCTGCACGAGCTGGGCTCGTTCAAGTGATAAGGCAACTATGAGTCGTCTTACCAAAACTCTTGAATTTTTTTTTCACGCAATTATTTCAAAATACTTTCATAGTAGTGACGATTGGCCATATTGTAAAATTTGAAAATGCACAGCTGCATTACAAGAGTAATTTTTTTAAAAATTTAAATAATTGCCAAGGGTTTGCACCAGTTTCTGGATCGCCTCATAAAAAAACGCTGCCTCCTGACCGTTGAACCAATTAGCAACTGTTTCATTCAACATGTCATCGTTTTCAAATCGCCTTCCACCATGAAATTTCTTAAATTTTGCAAGTATCCTGGTACCTAAATCAGAGCTGTATGGTGGATGATTCAGTTGGCTGAGCGTTGCACAGTGATCTATCAATGGAAAACATGTCAAAAATTGAAAAAACCAGGTATAAAATATGAATAAAGATTGTTATCTGTTTTAAAATTCGTAGCTAACAATATGTTGGTAATGGAATCAGAATTTTGCTGACGTTACCTTCACCATGACAGACTATTAATCTTGACGTTTGTGCTGTATCATACGACAAAATTGGAGACCTTCTGTATCATCCATTGTGTTGACTGTTGAAAATATCTGAGAATCTGAATATGTATCACGAAGAGAGCTCGAGCTTTAATGAAACAAATCTGTCATTACTGTTCTTTTCATGTACATAGTGAATTGAACAGATTACTATTTTTGTCTTCTCTTTTTTATAGTATTATTATTCAGGGAGGTTTTTAACAAGGTTCTGCCAATTTTTGCTAATTTTTACAAGCTATTGAGAAATACAGGTCTAAATACTGCCAGATGATGGCAGGTGATCAGAGACGCTTATTCATCTTCAAATTCACTCCAAATGGATTCATAGAGACAAATAATTGATCTCTGATTCAGACTCAACGACGGCGAAAACTTGTATTTCAGGCGTCTGCACTCGAATTGTGGACTTATTTTTAATTCGTCTTTAAGGTGAGCTTGAAA